GTTATATTCCATGGAATGCTCTTAACATCCCGATAGCAATGAATATTTTAAGTGCTTTGACAAAAAATCCATAAAAAAATGTCATCTGTGGAAGCCGTAGTACTGTAAAAAGCACGACCAATCATTTTAGCCGGCCCGGCTAAAATAACTGGATGGCCTACCTGCCTGTCAGCCTTCCATCTGTGCACAAACTTATCTCGTGCCCTCATTGGTCATGTGCGCGTTCGTGTGTGTTGGAGGAGGGGCTCTGTAAGGAAGTGGCAGATTTTTTCCGGCTGTGTATTTTCTAATTCTAGCGATCTCGAGCTGGTTTCTCCAAAATTACCTACCCCACCTTTAATGTAAAAAGGAACTTCAAATGTAGTGTGAAGTTATTGTAGCTGAGTAAATATGACTTGATTTGCAAAAGAATAGCATACTCTGTAAGTGCATGTATCTTAAATAGAGTGCTTGTACACTGTAGTCAATAATAATTCACGGCTTGAAACGCAGTTCGTTTAAGACATACTGTTAAAGTTTTAAATCCAGCATTGTTATTGCATTTGTAGGTTCATCACGGGTGGGATCATACGTCCTGTACTTCCCTCCAGCTGAAGCTATTCATAGACTGCGCATGTAACAGGAACGCCATGTGGGTGTTGAACACATACTACTGTTATCTTCAGCGGTGCTTATTTATTCTGTCAGCCTCTATCTCCGATGAAGGTAGAACATGAGGAGCGTGTGGTTGTGTGACTGTTATCAGAGTGCAAAGGGTTATCCAGGGGATTTTTTTTCCACCCTCTCTCTGCCAAACTATTAGGTAATGTAATATGTAATTTCGCTGCACATTCGATTCGGGAATCCTTTTCTGTTAATGTGACGTAACTGTGATCCCCTGCAGTCATAGAGCACAATCACTCTTTCCATGCCTCTTCCTCCGGGTTTTTTTACACTCTCTGATCAGTCACACAGCTCATCTGATGTCCCACTTCTACATCAAGCGTGCAGAGCAGAGGGGATTGAAGTGTTCTCATGGGAAATGTGCACTTAAAATCTGTTTGGCTCAGAACTGAAGACAGAAAAAAAGGAGATATATATATATATTTATTAATTTGTTTGCAGTGTTATGTACCGGAAATTGTCCAGCAGCCATGTGCCAGTTTATGATATGTTTCATTGCAACACTAAGATCATACTTTGATTTGTTTACACATACACTCTTCACAGTATCTCCCATGTGAATGACAAACAGTGTGCCAGTGAGGCAGAAGAACTACACACACAGAGAGTAGATATCACTGGAACTAGTAAAGGGCAAATGTGCCAATTCAGTGCCAGCTGATATGTCATTACCTCTGAGCTACTCAGAGAGCTACAATTACCACTTATTACCACTCATTATGTGTGACACCTGTTATGACCCTTTCTGTGTCCCTGTGCTTTTATGTTGTGATACAATGTCAATGGGACCAGATATATGGAAAAAGGCAGGTGCATAGTTTCACTGTTAAAACTGTCAATGTAGATAACAATGGAGCATTTTCTTTAACGGAGCAGCTTCTCTGGCTGATGCAAGCTGAAATTACCCAAATGTTAGAAAGATTATATGAGGAAATGGGCAGGCTTCACTTTTGATCAGAGAGATGAAAGCACCGCCAAAAATGTCTGCAACATTACTCTTTGAAGTTCAGTTCCAAACGCCTAGTCCACGTCCTTGATGTGGATAAAGAAAATGGTGCTAATGAGCATATGAAAGCAAATCATGGCATAGAGGTGGGCAAAAATATTTCCTAATGGCCCCTGACCTTCGTTTAATGAGAAAGAAATGCTCATAAACCTCCTAGACAAATGCTCTTGCTGCATGGAAGTTTACCATCTCATTACAAGCTATTCAGAAAGTGTGTTTTCTGATATTCAGGCATTTAGAAAAAACCTGACCAACAGACCACAGACAAAATGTTATTATAGCATACTAAGAAGAATATCAGCTATTAAAAACACCATATGCTGAATTTCCTATTCACTTGTAAAAAGCTAAATATTCTATATGAATATGAATATTGGAGTTACAAATGCCAAGTGGCCAACACATTACTCCAACTGAATGCTAATGTTGCTTCTTTACAAAACACAACCGTTTGCTAATAAGTTAGCCATTCACTTTTAATGTAATGATATGCCTATACTGTGGCATTGCCCCCAAGTGGGCAAAAAATATATAGGTGCTGGTTTTATGTGGTATTAAATGGAACTGATAGTCAGTTCACTCTAATAAAAAAAAGAGCTTTTACAAGTAATATCCTTTACTTAAAGTGTTACTTGAATAAAATCAACCAAAAAATGCTTCATAAACCTTTAGTGGTATCTAGCCATGCAGCTAGCTTTTACTTTATTTACCTAAAAATCAACAATCACCGGCTAGAAATCATAATTCTGTTTAGTATAACCATCTGAATTATATCAATGACCTACTTTGTGTGAAAAATACCAAGAATTTAAAGTGGTAAATCTGCAAGCATTATCGTTGTACATTGCAAATGATGTGCAATGATGGACATTATTACAGGCATAGCAACAGTAACTAAGGGGGGCGTATTAAGCTAAAGGTTGATTAGGGAACAACAAGCAGGTGTGGGGATAGGTGACTGGAACTGGTAAGACAGTTATAATTAACGTTGGTTCTAATTGTATATACACGTACCCGTGCCCCTATTTACATGAGACTCATTAATTCAGAGTCATTTAATTAATGGCTGATTAGCATCATCTTGATGACTCGCTCCGTTGCCAGTTCTCATCTGCAAATACAACTCCCGCTGGACTCACAATCCGAAGTTAGTGTCAATGGGATCCAAACCTGCAATTCAATTAGATCAATATAACCCTCAATGTTTCATTATAGAGCGCTTGAAATAGAAACAGGCATTGGATTTCTCTGCTTATTGTCTCCATATATAGTATAAAGGCAAATGTGGTTAAGATCTGTGTGTTCCACATTTCCTTTTTCTGGCCTTATAGAGTATTCACACAATCAGGGCCGGAGACTACTTCATTCCCCGTCTCCCACAGCTCTGCCAACAGTAAAAGCTCTCTTGTGTCTGCCGTCAGCTTTATTGAGTTACTCCTATATTCCAAGAATTCAATATCAGCATGTGTGTGGGGGATGCTTCTACGCACAAAGTATCTAACCATCAGAAGAGAAAATGATACAGCCTCGCAGTGAGAGGACAGTGTGGAGAAGTCAGTTGGTATTTACTTGCTGCTTCTTTTAAATCCTGATTTTATATTGTCCTTTACTTTAATGTAGACATAAGGGCCTTACCTTAGGCTGTAACCAACGATTATTTGCATGGAAGCTGGAACCTATATGTTTGGTATTTTGATTATCTGGATTGTTGCTTGTTGACTAATATCATATCTATTTCTGAAATACTTTAATGGAAAAGATGAAAAATATTGGGTCTAGTTATTTATTCCATATATGAATCACCAGGATGATGGAGAACACATGTACAGTAATGTAGTCGAGAAAATATACTATATGTTCCTGTTCTGTTTTGATCCATCCCACTTGGGCAAACAAGCTGTGTGGAAGGTTTTAAAAAATGGATGATTGTTGAACATCTCTGTTGCTTTGTGGAGTGACATGAATGTAAATCAGCAGCCCAGCTCTCAGTGATATAAGGTGTGGGCGTTCTGCTTGCTGGTGGAAAATAATGTTCAGTAGAACATCATCTCTGAAGTGAATCTAAGTAAACTACATTTCATTTCTGGAAAACGAACTTTGTGAGTGTTTTAAGATGCTCTAATCATCATTCTCAAAAGTGAATGATGATTAGAACTCTTAAAAGTGGTAACAATGACATCTTATGTGAAAGGGGTTGCAGAGATGTTTCCCCCTACTTTGCAATTCACTGCACATTTTAGTGTCATTGGACTGTTTATTTGACAAAACAAGCAATATGAAGAAATACCCAATGTGTCTGGGAACTTGTGATTGGCCCCACTCCTGCCTAACATTTTGTTGACAATATGATGAATTGGTGAATAAAAAAACTAAAAATATATGGTGTGAAACTAGAAACAGAGCAGTAAATCTCTGCCACTGTCAAACTGCAGCAATCTTCTCTCTTTGTGTGCTCGCAGGTCTCTGGACACACAGTCTGAATAAAACATGTTATTGAGAGTCGTGAGTCCAGTGATTGAGTACCAAAAGACTTCCCTCTCCTTTCATTATACATTTGGTCTGGTAATTTCAGAGGGCAAGAAATGAATCAGCCAGGCTGGCAGACTCATTGAGTTTAAGCTTATTAGTGGAAGAGAACTCATTGGACCCTGGAGTCTCTAACCTTAGATGTAGTGTAAATTGTTATAACTTACGATACTACCCTACATTTATATGTTTACTTACTTAAAAAGGCAGCTACTTAACATAAATAAGTAACAATTAAGCTGCCACCTTTATTTACCTTGCATGTGAGCTTATTTGATTAGATTTGATTACAGTTTCCTTGCCTCTTAAAGGTCACCTATTATGAAAATCCACTTGTTCATGTCTGTTATACATACATATGTGTCCCTTCTGTGTAAAGAGATTCTGAAAGTTTCAGGAAAAAAGATTTGCTCACTTTTTTTCCTGAAACATTTATATAAAAACCTATCAGATTTTGTGATGTCAAAACGACTTTTTGGCTTAACCATAATCCAATAACTAACCCCCCTCTTTTGTGAGAGCTGGTACCTACTCTTCCCAGAATATGTTACCTTCTAAATGAATGCCCGGCTTATTCCCTCCCTCCCTTATTCACATGCATATAGTCAAGCCAATGCAAACAATCCATGGATTGGATTGCTGTTCTATCTTTCCTGCCCCAGCTGGCCTTGACTGAGTCTATTTCCATTAACACACCCATTGATTTGCCTTCTCGTGCTTGTGCTGTTAAAGTAATTGAACAGGGCATTTTTCCCTTTGGCTCACACTCAACTCACACCCGTTCCCTGTCCCTCTTTTCTGCCAGATGTTGCCAGGGCTATCGAGCTGCTGGAGAAGCTGCAGGAGTCGGGGGACGTGCCGGGTCACAAGCTGCAATCTCTGAAGAAGGTCCTTCAGAGTGAGTTCTGCACGGCCATCAGAGAGGTGAGTCACTGTCAAAAAAGGGAACTGCTGTACCGTGAACGGCAACATGACTCATGTCTTTTCTTTCTTTCCTTCTGTGAGACTTTTTATTTATTTTTGCTGCTTTTTCTATGGTGACCTTTCTCGGGCTACTACTCTTTGTTGTTGATTCTTCCGATCAATCATTTCGTCCTTGGAGCTTCTGTTGATGAAGGTCTTTCTCTTTCACCTGTTCATTCATGGATTCTGTGTTGTCAAGACCTTTGTAATTTTTCTGTCTCATCCAAACAAACCAGAAAAGAACAACTTTCTTAAATAAATGATATGACAAAGTATAACATCAGGTTGTTATCTGAAAACATGGTGACCTAATGCCATGTTCATGTGGAGTGTGAAGTGTTGATTTCATATTTTATGCCAAGATTAAAGGACATGTCTGCAGGCTTTTGGTGATGTTTGTATTATAGTTGACCATATTTAGAATACAGCAGGGACAGTATCTAGACATTAGCCAACACACGTTAGCATACTTTGCATTTTAGATATATTTTACACATAATTTACTCTCATTTTACTAACATTTGTGTTGTGGTGAAACTATATGATAGTAACATTTGCCACTTCACAAGTGAATGAAGTGGAACATTTAGTGTTAAGATTGATGCAAAATTAGCATTTAGTATTGTACCTTTAGCGATTAGCTTGCGCAAACCCAACCTATGTTTTGTTTTGTTCTAGTACAAATTGAAGCCAAAATGTGGTAGTTGCTTTCAAACTGAAAACTTTATTAAATAAAGCAATAAAACAACAACATTTGAGATTGTACCTTCAATTTACTGTTGGGCTACATCTAAAGAAGGGCTGCAGCATAATGAAAATGTGAGATGATTACTCAAACAGCAGCAATGAATTTTTAACTGCATGAAAAATTCACACTGAACATTTTAATGTCCATGAGGCCAGAGAACATTATGAGCATTTCATTAACTTGGATGTTCGATACGCTTGTTACTGTGAATTTTAATTAAGCAAATCACTTTTAGAGATTTGGTATAATTACTTATTATAGTGATGGAACCAATTGTGAATAACAAGCAGGAGTTTCCCCCTTTTGCTTTGCATGCTTTCGTTCGCATGCATGCAAACGGCCACCCACTGATCCATCATCTTAGACCCATTCATCAGGAGTATGGCGTACAAACAACGCTACATGACACCACTACACAGACTTATAACAGCCGATCTTGTATATTTAATGTGCTGTCTGAAGTGATGTAGCGTCATCCAGTGATTTGTTAAGCCAACAGGACCGTGAACAGCAAAATGGATGACGGTCACGATGGCATCCATGTTGCAAGTTAATTGTAATCAAAGTCAACAATTTGTCCTGGAATGAAAGCAGATTTGACCAGAATATTGTCGTGTTTTGCTTTGAAGGGGCCTGTAAGATTTAGGGGGCTATATTGTCAGAAATGGAATGTAATATTCATAATGAATTTTTGTATTGGAATAAGCAATCAACTGAAGCTAAAAGTCTTCCTGTTTTTGTTAGCTGAGAATAATCCCTTTATGGGAGCGATTCCTGTGTTAATATGTTTCATGTTTCAAAGAGACAAACACTGAACTAAATTGTCCCAAAATATTTAACTTATCAGTCTAAACTTGGGAGGTAAATAGGTCAGATATTATAAAAACAGACACATAATAAGGGAAGATAATAATCTACGTCAAATGCATTTCAGAGTAGAGTCAACTTGTCCAGACGTCCCCAGCTTTGCATTATTAAAACAAGGCACTGTGTGTTCTATGTGCTTTTTAACACACACACACATTTCTATTTCTATATTTCTTCCAGTTTATAGAAACTCATGATAAGCTTTGTTTACAGTCGGTGCCTTGTTGCAATATTTCAAATGTTGGCAACAATTAATGATACTAATTGGCAGAGCAAACGCAAAACCCCAGGCATCATGCGAAGTTCCAGGAAGGCAGAGAGTCTTCTTCTCTCTCAGGGTGCAGCTCTTCTTGGCCCTCTCTAGGGAAGCTGGCACATCCTGACTCCAACTGCACGTCTGGACACCAGCAGAGCGATCTCAGTGCCAGCCAGTGAGTGAAATGATTCTCAAAAACCTTTGAAAAAGCCTTCAGCAGCAGTAGCAGAGGCCCTTGTCAGAGAGGCAAAGATGCAGACCACTTCACCCTCAAAGAGCTAGCTAAACACAGTCACCAGGGCAACCATCAGAGATGCTCTGGCATAAGTGAGCTGCAGAGAGGTCGACTCTGGTTTACAGTCGATTACAGGTTTGTAAGAGGCGATGATACAAACAGCTTCTCTCCGCGGTGTTAAACCAGCTCGGGGACAGGTTGTAAGTGCTGGTCATTGTACAAACTGTGGATTATTATTGTTATTACGCAGAGCATTGAAGGAGTTGTTGTGGTGGAATCTCCCAGTTCTCAACAGCTGGGTATTACCAGAAACAATTACAGAAGACAGTAACAGGATGGTTTAAATGGCCTAATATGCATGAGTCTATGTGAATGTGTTTGTGACAGAGGAGCAATTACCCTCATACATTTTACTTAAAGGTCCCATGTCATGCTTTTCCGGTTATTACCTGTCCCCTTGTGTGTTATGAAGGTTTTTATGCATGTAAACGGTCTGCAAAGTCACAAACCCTCAAAGTACACCCTGTAGCGAGTAAAACTCTAACACAGAAAAGACGTGTCTATGCTGCCCCAGAACGCCTCGTTGGAGATTTCTCTTTTTCCATTGTTTTCTTCCTGGAACCAAGTGACGTAACCAAATGGACCAATCCGCGGAGCTCCTCACACACACACACTCAGCCAGCCTTATTTTTCTCAGCTGCAGCTCCACGGATTTCTCAGCCTGGACTCAGCCTGAGACAGCGGGACACGGCGAGGCCCGGCCCGGGCCCGGTCCGAGCACACACACAGACCCACAGCCAGGCTGCGGGTGTGTGTGTGTGTGTGTGCTCCGGCCGAGCTCGGGCCGCGCCTCGCCGTGTCCCGCCGTCCCGCAGACCCCACGCCGCAACCAGGAAACAACACCAGCAAGCCAGCTCACACTGTCCGCTCCAGCAGCGAGCCCCGCAACGTCCCGCCAACACGGCACCCAGACCCCACGCAGCATTCTCATCTGTTTGTCATTGCTGGTGTCATTTTCTGGTTGCTAACAAACGCCATTGTAACACATAATCATTGATGTTCCGCTGTAACGGTGGTGGACTCATCAGAACAGAGTGGGCGAGCTGACCAATCAGAGCACACTGGGCTCACAGGGAGGGGGGGGACAGGAGCTCCAACAAGCCGTTTAGGACAGAGAGTGAATACACATATTATACAGAGATGCTGTATGAGAAACCAATGTGAGTTTGGAAAATTGCACAATATACATCTATCCTAGTAGATCTCAACAATGGAATTATGATCAGTAGAAATGGCCATGACATGGGACCTTTAACAGATGATAATGTTCACATAAATGTTGCCTGTTTGTTTTTCTTTGGTATCTTAGATGTCGGATCTTTACACCAGCACAAAAATACATTACTTTGTGACACAAACATTTGCATAAGGTAACTTCAACAAACAATGTTCGTTATGCTGGATTAACAATCTCAAGCATTTTTTGAGGCTTTGAAAGTGATTTTTATTATATGATTACACTAGTATGAATCCAGTTGGCACCTGGAAGAGAATACATATGCAGCCAAAGTATTATATTATATGTAACAAAAAATAAGCAAAAACAATGGTTCAATTTGTTATGGTAACAGTTTTCCTTCTCCTCCTCCAGCCTTGTTATTTTAGCTAATGCTATATAATCATATTCTAATTCATTTTGACTGCACACAATTTTCTTTCCTGGATGTCATCCATCAGTGTTAACTACCCTGGAGTTAAAAGAGCCATGAAACATAGGTTAAACTGAAAGCCAACCCTCCTGTTTTCTGCATTCTAATCACACACACCTCTGTGACATTTCCTCATTACAGATGACCTTTCTTTCAAACTCCGGGCTTTGTCTACTGTGTGATATAATTTCCTGCTTCACACACATGGTTGGCACAGCCTGACAAGACGAACATACTAATCCTCAAAATATGGTCAAAACCCCTCCTCCAAACCTGATCCTGTCTCTGCCAATAGAATTTACCGACATTAATCAGCCTTGTTGAGGATGTCAGGCCGGCTGTCAATGTGAAGAATGAACAGCGGGGAAAAGAGTGTGTTCAGCAGTATTGGGCTAAATGACAAAGAGTTTGATGAGGCGTTGTCTTTTTTTGTCCCTGCCATGTTCATCAATGAGTAGGGGAGGTGGGGGGAGGTGGGGGGCGGTGTAAGTCTCACTGCATCAGCCTGAATGAGTTGTCAGGGTCAATCAGCCTTGCAAATGGAAAAGGAAGGACACAAGACAAAAGGACTGGAAGGGCTAACCAGCTGGAAATGATGGAGAGGGGGAATTTCGTAGTACATGGAGTTAGAGAGGGCGACTTGACAAACAGGAAGTTGAAAACGCAGGCCATAGAAATAGCATCTTTCATCAGTTTTAACACTGCAGTTGATTTTTCTCATTACAGTTTTTAATCAGCATAATGTGTTTTTATTACGAAACTAGCGAGTGTGGAGGATTTGTGTTAAATGCCTCCCACGTCACATTAAGTTAAAGGATGAAAATTACATCAAGTTCAATATTTTGCGCTGTGTCATGGTTAGCAGCACAGAGAGGGAAAGTGTATTGTTAAGTCCTGTGCTGGTTATTATCCTTTTACAACCAGCTAAGATCTCTTTTACCCTTCCCCCTCCCTCCTCCCTGACTCTGTGACTCAGTAGAGGAAGTGGGAAGCCATGGTTACAGCAGCGTTGTCACGTCAGTGTGCCCCGCAGGCATCTCTCTATTCTCTGTCTTTGTGACATCCTCCCATCCTCCTAGGTGACGCTCAGTGCCGGTATCCTGTCCGGAATATTGAGTGAAGGCTTGTGTGTTTATCCATAATCTGCTGTGGTGAACCAGGCAATAACAAACATGAAGGAGAGGGGGCACTGATGGGGTCAGTGTTTTAAGGGATGGGCAGTGAAGACGTCTGGCAAAAGGAGAGGCAGGAGGGTAATTGAAAAGATGCCTGCAGGACAACTGGCCTCTTTAGAGTAAAGTACAGCCACAACAAGCAGACTGACATTCAAAAGCACACAGCCATTTGTTCTGTTATTCAGGGCACTGCATTCAGGTTCAAAATGTAGAGCAATATTAAATGTGCATCTTATTTGGCCTCCTTTAAAAAGCTTTCTTACATCAGTTATTTATAATTTAATTAATAAGAGAATTTTAAAGCTGCAATAACTCGTATATTTCATCTCTGCCATGCAATTTAGCATCTTTCCGCTCATAGAATTGGTTTTCTGATTAATCTGATCATTCTTGTTTTCAGTTGAAGCAGTAATCTGTGCTGAGTTTTAATAAAAGCAGCTAAAGAATTTAAATAATTTACCCAATGGAGTTGTTGTAGCTCTGAAACAAAGTTGAAAGAGAATGAATTTTGGAGAGCAATATGACACCAAGTGAATGCTAATGTTGTTCTGTGTATGCTGGCTGGATTATTACCGTGGATAATGTATGCTAACATGTGAGCTACTTGATAAAATAATATGTCAATTTTTTCAACAGGAAAATAGTCTATAGTCCATACTAATGAACCGGTTTGAATTCTTCTGCTTACTTCCACCAAAAACTGCCTTGAGGGAGTTGTGTTCAAATGTCAACTTTGATACAATTTTGCTGGTGAAAGGTCAAGGTCACTGTGACCTCACATTAAAGATATTTGGCCATAACTAAATAAATAATACCTTAATTAAGACAATTTGACACCTATGTCTAATAGAATAGTATGACAAAATGATGATATTTTAGACAGACAGGGTAACGAATGCAACTTGCGGAGGCATTCAACCGTGAGGGGTTATTTTTTAGTTTAAATATGCTTTTGCAATGTCAAACTATATCGTATATTCTCTATAATAAATGAGGAAAAAGAGTACACAGTTATGCACTGGTGAAAAAGCACCTTTCTTTTAGACATTCATTGAGCCTTCAGTCGCTAATGCAAATAACCTTTTCAATCAATCGCTGATGCACCCAGAGAGAGAAGACTGTTTATCTGCAACACTTAACAGATCGATGACCAATGAGAGATATTTGCGGGTAAAATAAGAAGGTGTAATTAGTAGTTGCAGTAGTGGGAAAAGAAAGTGGAGAGAGCTTGGGGAAGGAAGCCACTCTGCAGGCAGACTGAGGCAAGAAAAGCCTTTCATGGCATTTCTAAAGCTGTGCTCAGCCTCAAAAGGTGCAAAGGTGGAAGAAGTCCTCAGGAAAAGGTATCATTTGGGAGCTGAGTGAGAGTGTGTGTGAACTGCAGGCTGCTTACCCCCCCCCCCCCTCCTCCGAATGCATCAGCACTATAAATCTACAAAAATGTGTTGCAGCTTGAAAGGGGGAGTCGCACTTTCATATGGTCTTTGAGATTCATGAGCAAACAAGACAACAGAAGCTCAGGGATATTTTCTCCCAGTCTCTGAGAACCTTACATACAAATATATCAGGATTTGCATCCTATAAGCATACATCCTTTTGATTCAGGGAAGCGGGGCCTTTGTTGTGTTGTTCGGCACGTCAAAGCCACCGGGCTTGTTCGTTTCGACGCTTTGATGAGAGACATCATGTAGTGAGTGCAAACAGATGATTACAATTCTGCGCCACGACATACAGTATGTCACAGAGGAGAATCTTGAGCTGTTTTCGCACTGAGAATTTTATCATGATTAGATTTTGATTGCTCATTTGCTAAATGAGCCGGAACTGCCGTAAATTCTAATGTGTTCGCACTCGTATCTGCTGAAATTGTGCGTTCCTGGCAGTAATTTATGTGTTTCATCGAGTCAGTTGCGATGAGTAAGCAAAAGCGTTTCCTCCGGGACCTGTTTGCAATCGGCCCCATGCTCTCAATCACTTTCATCTCCATCCTACCATTGCATTGTTCATTTTTTGGTTTCAGCAGCGGAGAGTTCAGATTTTAAACTGCAACACAGACAGCATTCTAATGTGCCGTAACAGAAAAGTGTACTTTAGTGGTACAGTCTTTTAACCACAGAAAGCTTTATTTGTCTCTATCTTCTTCGCTCTTTTATTCGTTGAACAAGTTCAGTTGTTAGCTGTCAAAGGTCGGCTGTTTGAATTGATTCTGTCTGCCTCAGAAAACCTTGCTTTTTACCCAACTGGACGTACAACTACCCATGTCTTGGCACCAGCTCAGGTCCGAAAGTAGTGTATTACTGCCTGGAGACTCTTTGTGCTGTGTGTTAAGACAGGGATCAGATTGTGCCAGAGTTTCACTATTGATGTACACTGCACAAATAAAGGGCTCTATTCCGCATGTTAAGACTAACATTATATAATCCCCAAGTCTCGTACAAATGCACTCAAAAATATGCTTAATACAGTAATTGAAATATTTCCTCTGAGGGTTTTTTCCTCACTTACCTGATTGCTGCTGATCGCTTCACATTTGTGTGTGAGTGTGTTACGTTGAGTAAGTGAAATTGTACAAAACCCTGATTTGCGTGGTGCCACTTTGAGTTCAAAATAATGAGATTTACATACTGTTTGCACATGTAAGGTAAATGTAAGCAGAATTATTTTTGAGTAGTGCATTTCCGTGCCTGAATGCCTTGTGTTTCCCATCAGTCATTCTGTTAATGGCGCTCGTGTCAGTACAGCCAGCTGTGAAGGAACGCCATTATTCGACTATGGAAATGAAGTGTTTGAGCTCCGACGCAGTGGAATGATTTCTCTTTCCAACCATGTGAAACATAACTTGAACACCTTTCTTTCTTCATTTATTTCAGGTGTACCAGTACATGCATGAAACCATCACAGTGAATGGCTGCCCAGAGTACCAGGCGCGGGCCACAGCTAAGGTAAGAGCTGCTTTGGAGATCTCTACATCAACATCTACTGTATGATTCATAATAAAAACATAAAATATGACTGTAACTAATGGGTGGTGAATTATCTGTTAATCACATCGCCCAGTGATATCATTCTCATCTTTTCTTCTGGCCAGAGCAGAATGAAATCAGCAAAGTATATCAACTTTGCTAATGGCCATCATTAAGAGTGTGTGTGTAATTAGGCAAGAACACATGAGAGTGCCAATGTTGTTGGAAAGGCGGAGTATCACAGCGCTAAAGCTTTGCCTAAGGTTGTTTTTGATGATATACCACACACAGAAACATTTACCACATAGTACTAGAGTTAAGCTTTAGTTTGTTTGCAGGGATGTCATGCTTTACTGTGTATTCAAAACATTAAAATGCCAAGTTCTGCCAATGTGAGTTCAAAATTAGCATGCCAAATCTGGAAATTGGATTTACAAAAACTGTTCTTGTTCAGATTATCCAAACCAGGATAACCACATTTCATGTTGTCAGAGCACTGCCCATTTGTGTCATTTGTGTCATTTGTTTTTTATGAAGCGGAGCGGCCAAGATGTTTTGAATCCAGGAATGCCCTTATCGTATCTCATAGCATATTATCTGGCTTAACCTAATATAACAGGGAGGAGGCAGCTTCTTCCATACTTAAGAGGTTCAGAAAGTCCTCCAGCCATCTGTTTAAATTGAAGCAGTTGGGCTTTCTGACTTTCCAGTTCATTAGGACGAGGCGTTTAGTTGAGAGGCATACTAGGGCTACGAGTTTTATTGCCAATTTAGATTTGATGCCATTGGGCGGAGATCCCAGCAAGCATGAAGCTGGACTTCAGCATATATCTGTATTCAGGAACTCAGCGAGTGTGTCTCCAGCTAGTTCTGCTAAAGTAGCAGCTCCGAAAAAAGACAGGCTTGAACCCAGAAACCGAGTCACAAAAAGGCAGGGAAGATGAAGCTTTATGTTTACTAAAAATCATCAAAGCGAGGGTCAGGATCAGGCAGGCAGAATAACACGGGAGATTAACTACGCAGATGCACAATAGACAGTAAAAACAAAGTCACACACTCTCTATCAAACTTAAATTGATTATTTTATTCAGGCTGCACTCTCCCATCAAAAGGGAGACGTATTACAGGATGTGCTTGGAATTCAACTTCTTGAACATTTCTCTTTCGATATGAATCAACTAGGATTTCAAGCTCTTCATCCTTCTTTCAACTGTCTTCAGTGACGAGAAGTCTTTGATTTGAGCTGTGAATATTTCCTTAATTCCAGAAAATATTGACCCTGATTGATCTGATTATCAGATCTTTATTCTGCATTAGGCACAGTTTCTTTGGTAGAAACATTGACGTCACTTGAAATCCTGTTAAACAACCTGGATAAAAAAGCACTAAACTAATACAATGATAGGAACTCACTTTATCAAACTAATCGCCTCATTATTTTGTTGGTAGTTAACGTTTTTAGTGTACAGTCTAATCTGTCTAAATTCACTTGGCATGTAGTGATATCACAATTCACAATTCACACTCATCAATTTAAATGACAAGATGTTCATAATTGAATAGGCTCGTTGTTTTCTCATGTATTTCCTTCTTCCGCTCAACTATTTAATATTTCAGGCGTACAGGTTTTTCATTGTCTGCTGCTTAGAAAACATTACAGCCGTGTCACAGGGGAAGGACAAAATCAGAACAGAGACATTTCCTGTTGCTGTGTGAATGGAATAAGCAACATCTGGTACACAAAAGAGACACTTGAGCAGCACTTGTCATCTGCACCTTGCCTGAGAGAGACACAGGCCTTTTAAGAGAGGAAACAAAGCGGCATGGCTTTTCTGATTTCACGTGGACGCTGTTGAGGATGAGATGTGGAGAGCAGAATAGATGAAAGCGCCTCTCCGTCCTTCAGTTGTTCAACGTCCAGCTGTGTCCACTCCTCTTCACCACATCACAGTACTGAGTGAGTGGGAGGGTGGAGGATATGATGAGGGCTTTATTTTCTTTTGTTGCCTACTCCAACTCTCTGCCTCAAGTATGATCATGCAAGGTATGGTAACTCACAATCAACACCTGGTTTGAGTTTCAGTGTATTGGGGATCACACTTTGATTTTCTCGAGAACTTTTCAAACTTTAATCAGAATGTGAGATGCTTCAGGAGAGCCTCTACAGGTGAAAACTGTTTTTTATGCACGGGTCCTTTTTAACAGTTTGGGCTCTACTCTGCTTCCATACATGTCTTCTTTCAGACAAGTGGGAAAAAAACATCCATGAGCAAATATGTGTTTGTTTATTTGTGTCTTGAGATTTGTACTTAATTTACCAAAAGTGAGCATTATAATGCCTCATTTTGCAAATTACATTTCATAAAACTAGCAATAGAAAAATGTTTCGCCTCTATGTAAGTCAATTTATCTGGAATTGTTTGATAGGTATATCTGTACGTCAGTTCACTTTTTCCCCATTTTCATATTTTGCTAAGTGTTTGGAATTTTGCAATACATACTGTGTCTTTAAAGGCAGTTTTCTTCAAAATATATTTTGTTCTCATACTCCAGAAATGTAGTAGCTCTTACATACACGTTCCAGTTTTATTCCTCTTACTATACTCTGAAGGTTTTTACATTTATTATTTATAGCCTGATTTATATCTTGGCAACATGGCAAAAAATATATATATTTATGACTGTTCACAGTATTTAATGATTTATAGAGTGATATAAGGAGAAAATTCCCTCTGTGAAAACACTTGAAAAAAAGAAACATTGAACTTGGCTTTTTTCTTTTCTGTTACTGTAAGCAAATCTTATTAAATAAGATAATGCCCCATTTGCGTAGCCTACATGAAAAAATCCGAAATCTTGTAATACAAAAGATTATTGTCTTGATGTAAGAAATCAAGAAGTAACCTCTTTTTAAATGTGTCAAGTTATATCTCTCACAGGCTCCGCCCTCTACTGGACTCTATGGGTACTACCTTATCATGCAAGCATTCACCTACTGAGATTTCTATAGACGTAGCCGGCCCCGGGGCGGGCCTACCTGAATGCGTGCGCATCTCACTTCCCTATAAAAGGAGGCCTCGCCTCCTGACCACCATCCTTTACTCTTCAGCGAGCGGAGGTGATAGCCTAGCACTGAGTCCGAGACGTATTATTTGAGAGAAAGGAAGAAAGTAAACGAGTATTTTTTGAAATCATGCCCTGGATTAAATAGCGGGCGTCGATCCCCACCACCTCTGCTTCGAGTGTGCCAGGATATGGCCGAGGCGGTGCAATTCACGTTCACCATTCCTTCCAGGTCCGGCGTCCATGGAAGTCCACCGCCCAGGGCTGTACTCTCCCTGGATGATGATCATGGCGGCGGGTGTGTGGGCTACTCGCTCATTGCTAGAGATGCCCCCGCCTCACAAGGTCAGAGCGATTATTGGGCCGCAAGGCCGAATAAGTAGCTTGGTCCACGGGCCTTGCCCCAGGCCTCGGTGGCTTCACATGATATAGGGGCGACCCTACTTCATCACAGGCCGCCGCCGCTGCCTGCCGTGTGATGTCCCTGGGATATCACGCCGCATGGCACTTTCCAAAGAGGACCGTGTTGATCTCCTGGGAGCCCCCGTGTTTACGGAAGGGCTCTTTGGATCGATCTCCTTGCTCACGGGATAAGGAGTAATCGCAGCGTGGCTGCTTCTTGCCCATCCCCAGAGGAAGAAACACTGTCATACACTCCCCGCCTCTGCTGTAAACCCCAGTATAGGGAGCCAGCAGGTGGGTATGTGCACGTGAGTGGGATAAACCGAGTGCTGTCAAAGCACTGTGCGGGTTCAAGAGACGCTATTGCCGGCGTGCTGTTGTCAGAAAACACACCTTGCCTGGTATAATAGCTCCGATTAATGCATTTCACCGTTGAATGGGAAATACAGCGTTAATACGTGGGCGCGCGGCCCTCGTAAGAGTGGCCGCGGTGCGTTCAGGAACCTCCGCAGGAGAACGGTGGTTTACGTTTGTAAACTCTAGTTCTGGAGTGGTGTGTGTGTGTGTGTGTGGGGGGGGGGAAATGCATTCAGTTCTATGTTTGATTCTGTCACTAACTCTGCTTCTGTGAACACCTCAATCCGTGACTCTGAACAATGTGGTCTGGAAAACCCTTTCAGTTTTACTCCTTTTACTGTAAATGTTGTTCATGAAGCATTATCTAAGTTAGATCCTAAGAAACCGGCTGGCCCGGACGACGTAGAACCTTTCTTTTTAAAGATAGCTGCAGATTTTATTGCTCCACCTCTCACTACTCTTTTTAACCTCTCCCTCAGCACGAACACAATTCCAAAAGTATGGAAGTCAGCGTATGTCTTGCCTTTGCTAAAAGGAGGGGAGGCAACTGTTTTAAATAACTATAGGCCAATCTCGAAATTGTCAGTTCTGGCTAAGGTTCTTGAACGCCTAGTGAGTGAACAGGTAAAGGAGTTTTTATGTAACAATGACATCCTGTCTAAACATCAGTCAGGTTTCAGAAAGCAACATAGCACCATCACTGCCACAATGAAAGTGGCTTATTAGATAATAAGCAGAGTTGTGCAGCTCTATTTATTGACCTTTCCAAAGCGTTTGACACCGTCGATCATCGCATCTTAAAGCAGAGGCTACTCAGTATTGGCTTATCCAGCCATGCAGTGGGGTGGTTTGTGAACTACCTCTCTGAAAGGTCCCAATGTGTTCATTTTGATGGGCTGTCTTCTGAGTGGTTGAACATTGCTAATGGTGTTCCTCAAGGTTCTGTTTTAGGTCCACTTTTATTCTCCATCTACATCAATAGTTTAGGTGAAAATGTGGATGAAGCTACTTTGCATTTTTATGCGGATGACACCGTGATGTACTGTGCAGGTCCCTCCATTAAGGAGGCGGTTGTTAAATTACAGGCTGTTTTTAACATTATTCAGACTCAGCTCTCTGAACTAAAGCTTCTTTTAAATGTTGAGAAAACCAAGGTA